GTGCCACTCTGCTTGTTCTCCAGTGACCTTGGACAAGGACACAGCTCTCAGAACCACAGTGTTCTCCTTGGTAGAAAGTTGTATTTAGTAGATCCCAGCTGGTAGAACTGTCTCAAGGATCCACGAGAACACCAAGTGGCTAGCTGAGCGCCAGCACCTCTGACTCAATGGCAGCACTGAATGCGTGGTCCAGGGGACTCTGCTTAGCCCACTGGTGTTTTGCAGAATCAGACATCGTGGGTCCTTTCCAGCATGGCAGCCCTCTACTGGAGAGTGAAAGGCCAGGGGAAGAAAGCCATCGACTGCCTGCGCCAGGCCCTACACTACGCCCCCCACCAGATGAAGGTGAGTGAGGGGGGAAGGGAATATCTGTGTGTGCTCCTCTCTGATGGCCAGTGGCTTCATGCTGTTTCAGTTAGGCGTCCACAGCTCAGAAGGTGGTGCACAGAGGTTGCGGTGGGAGCGGTGGCCTGTGGCTATTCCCACCTCACAGAGTTGGAGTGTAAAGGAAGGTCTGTCATCTCACACCTCTCCTGTACTGGAGAGCCACTCCTTATACAAGGTATCCTCTGGCTGGGAGTCTCTCTGGGGTTAGCTCATGCCCTGTGGGTTAGGCCAGCTCCTAAGTGCTTCACTTCCAATCTTTTTGCATATTAGTAAACGCCCTTCTCCTTCTCTGTGCACCGCATGCTGCTGTAGCTCTTTTGGTGTTGTCAGGGGCTGAGAGTGTGGCTGATGATAATGAACATTCCTGGCTCACAGTAGTCTAGGTGCCCTGCCTTGTACAGACCTGTGTGTGTCGGGTGGCGCCCAGGCTGGCAGAAGAGCCACTTCACCAAGGGCAGCTCTGGGTTCCAAGCACAGGTCTGCTTTGCACTGACGTTCTGACCTGGGGTCAGACATTGAACACTGCTCCTATCTGCCCATTGAGGACAGAGATGTGTCCCTTTTTGTTGTTTGTCCATGTCTCCATAGGACCCAGCGCAGTGTGTGACAGCCATGCTCAGATGGCATGTTTAAAGGGAAAAGATCTGTGGGAATTGGTTAGGGTTCTGTTCTTCTGTGCTTCACACTGTGAGCTGCAGACAAGGCAGACAGTAAGGCATTGTGCTGTGCCGGCCAGAGAGCCTCTGCACACCTGCTGGTCTTGCCTGTGGTGTGAAGCTGCCACATCAGTTAGAGGGAAGTTCCTTCCAATCACCACAGAAGCAAGTGCTGACTGGACCTGGCCTGTGGGCACGTCTGCCAGTTACTACAAGTGACACACTCGTCCTTGCACAGAATCGAGGCTGTAGCTCAATAGAAGAGCGCGTGCAAGCGCACTCTGGAGCACTCAGTCGTGTCAGCGCTCAGCGCAGGCTGTGGCTGTGCCCAGGTGCCTGGCTGTAGACTTCCCATTCACCGTCTGCGGTGACAGAGATCTCGCTCCCGTGGAAGTCACTCAGAGCTCACTTCTGTTTGTTCTGAGCATTAATATAAGAGCATTAATAATAATTGTTATCATTATTATTAATAATATTAAATCTTTTCATGGAAAGCTTTCTCAGTGATAGGGTTTTGTTAGGTTTTTTTTTTCTGGTGCAAGCTCCTATTTTGCTCTTTGTTTCGAGACCAGTAGCAAACAGCAGCCTGGCTCTGTGTACCTCCTTGTCATACTCGGTCATCTCCCAGGAGCAGGGCTGTATTCTGTAGCACAAATAATAAAAACCCAGAGGCCGATATTGGGGTTCAAACTGAAGATCAGAAAAGCAAAGCAGCCAAGCCACTAGAGAGCTCTTTCCTCTATGAAATCTTCAGACGGAAAGAGAACGAGTTCCTGTCTCATCCTGCCGTATAATCCTCTAGTGCTGGGATTAATGGTGTGCACCACACCACCCGGCCTCCATGGCTCACTAGAGTGACGCTGGGATCGAAGGTGTGTGATCCCACTGCCTGGCTGCCTAGTGTGGCGAGCTGTGCACTCTGATCTTCAGGCAGCCTTTATCTATTAGATCATTAACAGAATATCACTGTAGTATTCTTCATGTCCACAGTCAGGAGAGAAGCTCAGCTCTCCTCTCTCCTCCTTCCCCAGGATGTGCCCCTCATCAGCCTGGCCAACATCCTGCACAACGCCAAGCTCTGGAATGACGCTGTCATAGTGGCCACCATGGCTGTGGAGATCGCACCACACTTCGCCGTGAACCACTTCACTCTGGGCAATGTCTACGTGGCAATGGTGAGACTGGGGTGTCAGCCAGCTCAGGTCTGATACAGAGGACACCGTGACTCCAGAGCTTTGTTAGAATATGTCACTGTGCTCAAGTTTCCCAGAGGTTTTATGTCCAAAATTACCAGCTACATCAAAATAAAGTTTATCCAGGGGCTTGAGGGGTTGGGTTGGGTTCTTTTCTTTTTTTTTGGGGGGGGGGGGTGGTATTTTTTTTACAATTTTATTTTAGATTGTATTTTATGTGTATGACTATTTTGCCTACATGTATGTATATGTGCCATGTGCTTGCCTAGTGCACTCGAAGATCAGTAGAGGGCATCAGATCCTTGGGAACAGACAGTTGTGAGCCATCAGATGGGAGCTACAAAACAAACCCAGCCCTCTGGAAGAGAAGCCAGTGTTCCTAACTGTGCATCTATCTCTCTGACCCCATGGGTTGCATTTCCTTAAGTAGCACATGTTATATATAATCTAAGCATTTACAACTCCGTGTTCTTCACCATTAGTTTTTTAGCACAGTGGTGTTAACCCGGTAATCTAAAGCACTTGAAATGACTCGAGTGTTCGTCTCTTCCTCTAGATTTCCCCTCTGAGCCCCTGGGACAGAGCTGCTCTTTTTCATGTGCAGGAGCAGACTTGGTGCCCAGCAAATCAACACTCGCTGATGAAATCCAGTAGCTTTGCAGCTACTTTTCACCAGGGAGAATGATAATGCCACCCTCCAGTTTCCTCATTTAGTCAGAAAGAGGTCTGACTTCACAAGTGTGTGTGTACGTGTGTGCCCGTGTGTGATGTTGGGGAGCAAACCCAGAGTCCTCGCACATGCTAAGCAAGTAGTTTCTCATTGAGCTCTGAAACCCCAGTCTTGATTTCAAAACTTAAAGCCAAATGTTCTACCAAACCTGTCGTAACCATAACCTTGGGAAGCAGGCTGTCTGCTTTCATTTGAAGGAGAGGGCGAGGGGGCAGCTCCATGCTGCTCTCCTAGCAGATAGTAGAGTGAGCGGCTCTGGACTGTGAGCTGTGGGGGTCATCCCTGACTTCTGAGACATTATGTCTCTGCCCAGGCTGACATTGCCAAATGTGTAACCTTCTTCTCTACTTCTTAAAACTGGAGACTGTTTTTATCCCAGTAAATGTGAAGTTGCTGCAGTAAGTGAGCAAGTGAGTCTCACTGAATGAGAACGCCAGTGAGGCCTCCTGGTCTCACCGTGTGGAACTGTGCTCAGTGTAACGGTGCTCACTTCTAGACATTTTAAGTGTTTAGGAAAATACAAAGTTCTAATATTATATAGTGGCAAGAGATGCCCGAGTTCAGCCCCGTCTTGCCAGGCATGCTAGAAAAAATCAAAGCAGATGCACAGTGAGCATTTGCCAGGCCTCAGTCCTGCGGCCTGGGAGCCTAAGTCAGGAACATCGGAAGGCACTAGCACCATGCCAGGCACACCTCAGCGCTTAGTGGTGGTGGCTCTGAGGGGCCACTGCCACTCCAGACCAATACAGGCCAGTTTTCTGCTTTCTGTTTGGTCTGGGCACAGCCACTGCTTGCTTTGTGGTTGTGCCTTAGGGATAGGCCACCGTCTCCTCCTACACCTCAGCTCTCTTTAGTGGGTTGTCACTAGTCACAGCGTGTGTAGTCAGGTGGTGCCCCCCTCACATGTGTTCCCTGTCCTCACAGGAGGAGTTTGAGAAGGCCCTGGTGTGGTATGAGTCAACACTGAAGCTACAGCCAGAGTTCGTGCCTGCCAAGAACCGGATCCAGACCATCCAGTGCCACCTAATGCTGAAGAAGGGCCGGCGCTCCCCCTAGGGCCTGCCTCCCCTTCCCCAGCTCTCCCAGCCACAGTCAGAGCAGAGCCCCGTCACTGCCGGTACCCACGTGAATGGTGTGTGTGAATAACAGGACTTGGCCTGCAGAGCTGGCTTTGCTTGGTTTTTAAGTTCGTCCTCCCCAGCCACCCTCAGAAGAGGCATCTTCAGAAACAGGGTTTCCCAGACACTGTAAATACTGAGCCAAGACAGCCGGAGCTCTGCTCTGTCTTCAAAACCTCCATGCCTTCAAGGCTCCTCAGTGGTCCAGCCTCTTCCCTGGAGAGGCTCGAGCCACGCTGCCCATTCTCTGCTTCCTGCATAGCCTCTGTTGTCCCTGGAACTGCAATGCCACCTGGGGCCGGTCACTGAGAAGCAGGGATTCCTGTTGTCCCCACCAGCTCTGGGCCCTGCCCCAGTCCCGTCCATTCCACGCTGCTATGTTACGAGCGCTCAGAGATCGTTTGCAGGGGAGGAAGGGGAAACAATTTTACAAACAAAATATTTACAACAGCAGAAACTCTTAGGGTCATGTGACCTTTGTAAGTTATTTATGTTGGGGTGGGAGGGGGGCTGAGCAGGGGAGTCAGCCGTGTGCAACATCTTTATCATTTGTATTTTAATTGCAGATCACAAGGATACCAATACATTGAAATCCTATATAACAGGTTTATATATATAGAATATGTGTATTTGAAGCCCTCTACAGACTGACTCTGCGTTACTAACTCCTTGTTCGCTGTGTTCCCCGTCTTGGACTAGGCGTAACTGTCAGCCCTCTCCCTGACACTGGCACACCAACTCCTCACAGGAGAGCCAGGAGCCAGGGTTGGGTGTCCCATACAGTGCCCTTACCTTTGGTCCCTGGAGAATCAGAAACTCCAACATTTTGGAATATTTAAGGGCACATACCGAGAACGAAAATAAAAATTGTTTATGAGCAAAATTGCTCCGTGGTGTAGTTTTTCCTTCAGATATGGGCTAATTTGGACTCTAATGGCTGTGCCTCTGGTTGCCTGCATTCTGGGTCATCTCACAGCATCAAGATGAGGAATGAAACCATCTATTGCTGGTGAACAAACTCAGAACTTGAAACTTTGACCAGAAAGCTGCATCGTCAGCAGAACTCGCCGTGTGACTGGGCTTCCTGGAAAGGAAGCGTCGTTTGTTGTTAAGCCAGAGTCACGACTCCTCGACTCGTCAGATGAGCCCTGAGCCTCTTGTCTGCCCAGGACAAAGTGGGGCCAGGATGGATGGGGGCCCACCGAGGGCAGCAGTCTGCAGAGTTTTCCAGAACATCGTCAAGCCATCGCTAACGCTGGCTCACTGAGGCAGTCCAGTGAGTGGCGTTTGGAAAGCAGCAGGCTCTTTCGTGACTGGATGTGGCAAGGCTCTGCTCAGGAGGACCCTCCGGTATGTGTCCAAGGGAGGTGCTCCCTTCTCACCTCATCACAGTCTGACAGTTTTCCAGAGACCTTCAGCAAATGCTTGTTGGCTTTTGAAACTTACAACAAAGTTGATCTGGTGTATGCTCAACGAAGCTGAGTTTCCACAGTGGTATTGAGTCCTACAGCCGTGATAGCAGTCAGAATATAAAACTTCCACCGTGATCCAGGGGTTGTGGCTCTGTGGCAGTGCTTGCCTTGTGCGTGAGGCCCTGGGTTTGATCCCTCATATCACAAAAAAAAGTAACATTAAATTTCCTACCCACCCACAAAGGCCTCCCCCACTCTTTTAGCCCGACCACCTCCCGTCTGCCCCTGCAGCTGCACGTTTCCATAGTGTCGGAAATAGAATCACACAGTGTGCATCTCATTCTGAGGCTAGCTTGGCAGCTCCTCAAGGTCTTCTCTTTTGTGCCCACTTAATTCTACTGGTTTTCTAGGGCTCTCTTCACTGGATGTCGTCATGAGGTAACATTCACCACACTGAAGCGTCCCCTGCCAGGTGCCCAGCTCCTTAGTCTAATATCAATATCTGTACCCTCTGTTCTCACAACAGGCCCAGAACTTAGTAGTTGCTTAAAACTATTGAATTAGAATTAAAACTATTGAAAAGACCAAACAATAAAACTGCAGAAAACTATAGTGTACCAGGCTTTTTCTTTTAGGCCACCAACCAGCTCCCAAATCATGACACAGAGACTTGTTATTAGTTATGAATGCTTGGCCTTAACTTGGGCTTGTTTCTTACCAGCTCTTATAACTTCACCTGTTTCTCTTCATCTATGTTTTGCCTCGGGGCTTTTTATCTTTTTTCTTCAGTATTATCTTTCACTGCTTCTCCTGTCTGGTTGGCTGGTGGGTGCCTGTTCTGTCCCCAGGCTTGTCCCTCTCTTTCTCCCTTGCTCTCTCCTCCTCTCTTCTCTCAAGCCTAGATTTCACCTACTTATTCTCTCTGCCCACTAGCCCTACCTATCCCTCTCTTGCCTAGCTATGGGCCATTCAGTTTTTTATTAGACCAATCAGGTGCCTTAGGCAGGCAAGGTGAAACAGCAGCAAGTCTTTGCATAATTAAACAAATGCAGCACAGACAAATGTAACACATACATCATTAGCAAAGGCAACAAGAAGCAAAAGTAATACATCTTCAAATAGTTAAAGTAATATTCCAGAGCATAAACAAGTGTAACACATCTTTACCTATATAAAATAATATTCCACAACACTATAATGACATCAGGGAGAAGACACCAGGGAAGAGGAGCTAGAAGAATGGGGGAGTCTAAATCATCAAGAACAGCAAAGGCGTGGGAAAGCTGCTGCCACCAACTAGGTCCTGCCCCGCCTCTGACCATGCACAGCTCCTGACACCGGTAAGCCCTTGGAATAAATATAGCCATATATTAAGCTATCAATAGGCATGAACTCTTTTTAACACAGGCCTTCACTTTCCAACTAGGCTTTCCCCCAGTTCTGGAAATAATAACATTTGCCTCCCTAGTAATCTTTATTCAGAAGTGTGACTGTTTAACACAGTAACTGTGACATGGAAGGTAGGATACGCTCCAAAAAAGCCCCCAGTAGAAACTCCTGGGGAAGTGTTTAAGAATTTCAAGTTGATGGATTTTTTTCCATTCTGTTTTCCAATTTACTAACTCAACTGTATCAAGTCTACCATTTTAACCCACCTGTGATTTTCATTTCACATCACTTTTTGCACTGAAAAGATTTCCAGATACTTCTTTGTACTCTATCCACCAGATTGTATTATATAATCTCTCATTTTGTGGGGTCTGGTCTTCCTTTTAGCCACTTGAACAATTTCGGCATCCTTGTGTTTCAAATCGGCCTGTTTCTCTGTTAGGCATGAATTCTTCTCATGTTTGTTGAATATAGGTTATATAAGATAAAACTCAGAAAAGAAAAGAATCTATCCAAATTGGCTTGCTTCCTTGACCCATTACTCTCCCTCTTACACCTCCTGATAGTAGTTAAGCACCCCCACTTGTGCTTCTGCCTCAGGAACATGCTTTTGCTGCTTCCTTAGTCCGCAATACTCATCTAAATAACTACTTGGCTCATCCCAATGTTTTATTACTCTCTATTCTTCTATGTCATATATAATTTAGGATAGGGGATTGGTACATGTGATTGTGGGCATCTAGAAGCCCCATGATCTTTTCTCTGCGAGCTAGAGAGAGCTGGATGCCACCAAGTTCCAGTAGGGTGATTGAAAAGCCAAGGATCAGGAGCACTGAGGGCAGATAGACCTCCATTCCAGCTCAGTAAGGCAGAAAGAATTCAGCCTCCCTCCACTCTGTTCTGTGCAGTCCTCCACATTTAAGATGAAGTCCACCTTCATGGGAGCAGCCACTACTTTATTGTTACTTGGTTCATATGCAATACCTCAGAGACATAGAAAATATAAGCCATGTATCTGAACAGCCTTGGTCTTTATGATGGTTAGTTAATTGTCAACTGGACACAATCTAGGATATACTGAGAAGAGAGTCTAAATGAAGAGTTGTCTACATTAGGTTGCCTATTGGCATGACTGAGGGATTTTCTTAGTTATATTTATTGAGGTGAGAAGACCCACTGTGAATGTGGGTAGCACCATTTCACAGTCTTGGCTGTGGACTGAATGCCAAGGAGAGAGCGAGACGTGCCCTAGTGTGCATGCATTGCTCTCTATTCTTGGCTGTGGGTGTAATGTGCTGAGCTTCTTGACATTCTTGCCACCTTGGCTTCCCCACAATCATGTCCTGAAACTGTGAACACAACCTTTCTCCTTTAAGTTGCGTTTTTAGAGTGTTCATCACAGCAGCAGGAACAAAACTAAGTCCCTGTCAAGACGACCTGTAAAATTATCTATCCTCAAAACCCTGATGAGATGAAGTCCCAGTGGGACACTTAGCACACGCTAGCCTCATAAAAAAAATGGCTGTGAAGAGCTGGAGTATTGATAGCTAAGTTCTTTCCAAGAGTTTCTAGTCTGAGTCTAGAGTCTGTCTCCACAGCCATTCCCACTACAATCAGATACACAGAGCAACTTCATAGAGCTAGGCAATTGGATAGGCTAAGGGATCAATGCACTTCTGCCTGTTGTTCTCCAAATCCTGCAGGGCCACCTGAGCACAAGGCTAAGGATCTGAGAACCAAGCTCTCCGTCTTTGGCAACTGTATATTTAGGCACAGTGGTGTTCATGGTCAGGGGGGCTTAGGTGGGCTTAGGCACCAAAGTGTTCACGGCTGCTAGCTAGCTGCACAGAAGGCGTGAGTTCGAAACGAGAGGACAGTGCTGTCCTGCTAACCACATCTGCCTGTTGACACTTGCACATAAGTTCATTAAATTTTACTTACAATTCTCCTTTCTCTATACTGAACTCGTTGCAAGGACTTACAATGGCTGCTGTGTAGGACATGCAGATTAGAAATCAAAGTCCCACAGGTTAGCATGGTGTTAGACAATGAATTTCACCCATCTCCAAAAGCACTCTGTCTAACACCAGAGGAGGCATACCGACAGATGCCCACTTAAAAGGCCAGAGCAGAGCCCTTGATGCCAACTACTCTCAACTTCTTAGGAAATAGCCACTGCTCCTCCCTCCAGACTGCACAAAACTTAAGAGTTCTAGAAGACTCTGGCTGTGAGATGGAGCAGACTCTGGACCTTCTGGCTAAGGAAACACGGGCAGGTTGTGTTGAAGATGGTACCAGGCCTCCCACAGCTCCCAAAAGAACAGTGCCTCCAAATGTACGTGTGTGTCTCCCCTGTGTGCCCTACCCTTCAAGTCTACTCACCTGCCAACCATAGGTGCTAAAGATGGCTTCCATATGACCAAGGCTACAGACCACACAAGATCCCCCCAAGGAAGGGGTGCCAAAGCTTATTGGCACAGGCAACCAGAGGCCAGGAGCAACTCTCTGCCACGACACCTTTGAGATCACTGAGACAGGTGTTTTTCTCTCAGAATCTCTCCTACACGGGGCTCAGCTTTGGGGGCCACAAGATTGATAGTTACCTTATCACTGTTGTGGATGGGCAGGGTTTGCCTGCATGTATGTCTGTGAACCATGTGTGTGCCTGGTGCCCATGGAGGCCAAAGATATCGTATCCCCTAGAACTGGAGTTCTAGACAGATGCGAGCCTCCATATGGGTCTCTGCAAGAGCAGCAAGGTCTCCTAAGCACCGAGCAGTCTCTCCATCCTTCTATCCCTACAGCGTCATCATTTTATTTTGAGAGACTTATTATACATGGAAGATATTTGCTAATATCTTACTCCCCAACTCTAAGCCCCAGTTCTACGCCCTTCTCTACCCACCCAACTTTGTATAACTTGATTTTCTAAGGCTTTACGACCAAGTTGTGCTGCCCAAATAGTTTTGGATGCACCGGAGCATGCTCAACTCACCAGAGGCTGTGCTCCTGGAGAAACGGACTTTTCATTGCCCAGCAGCTGCACAGTTGAGGGTGGACTCTCATGCCTCACTCTGCCTTGCATGCGGACACTTAGTCTGGCTTGAGCTTGTTCAGGTCCTATGCATGCTGTCGCAACCACTGGGAGTCCATCTGTGCACCGCCCCGCTGCACCCACAAGATAGTTTCCTTGCAGTCACACACAGCCTCTGGCCCTTATCTCTCTGTCCACTCTTCCACAATGATTCCTGAGTCTTGGTGTGGGGGGCAGTGTGTGTGTTCATTCCCCAGTGTTTTACTTTCTGTATCTTCACCAGTAATGGGTCTCTACGTTGGTCATTAACTAATACAAAGACATTAGGTGTCAGTTTAATGCTGTGTTCACTTAACAGCATAAAGGACATGTGTGAATTCTCAGTCTTCTTCTGGAACAGCCTAAGCCCACCTCGAAGTCTTATGCATGCCAGACACAGTAGCGATCAGAGTTTGAGAAGACTGTTCCTTCCTTTTTCAAGTGGGGCAGGCTTTGGGTGTAGCTCAGCTAATAGAGTGCTTGCCTAGCATGCGTGAAGCCAGCCCTGCATGCTGTTGCCTGTACAGCATAAACCAGGTATGGTGGAACACTGCTGTAATCCAAACACAGAGGAGGCAAGGCAAGATGATGATGATGATGATGATGATGATGATGATGATAATGGTTCTGATAAGATGGCTCAGGGAGGGAAAGTACTTGTGGTGCTGGTCCCCAGGACCCAAAGTGAAAGAGGAGAACTGACTTCTGCAAGTTTTCCTTTCCCTTTGCACAGTGGCACATGTCTGAGCACTCTCCTGCTCACTTGCTCCCTTTCTAAATCAATAGATAAGCAAACAAACTCAGTTCTTCCTGGGTGAGTTTGCAGTGACAGACAGGCAGAAGGAATGGCCAGAAGACTGGGTTTAGAATCCTGAGAGAGAGCAAGGAAATGTGAGAAGGGTCATGGCTGTGAGACTCCAGCCCAGCCTGGGGTGGGAGAAGGCAGGAGCAGTTCTGGTGGGAGGGGCGCTCATTAACCCAGTCCTGAGAGCAGGGAGGGGCGCATGCTCTAGACAGAGCCCTCTGGCAGACAGTGAAAAGGAGCCACTGCCATCTTCCACCCTCTGGATAATATGATTGCATTGATGCAGGTCTATTAGAGAGAGGACTGAGGGGTCAGATGGGCCCAGGAGACTGGTGCCAAAGTGCTGATAAGGAGTGAACTCGGGGAGGAAGTAGGGCCCCTACTGTCTGTGGACAGACAGGAGAGAATGCTGAGGAAGAGAGAACCCGATGACCCGCGACGGGGCTTGAGACAGAGGTGAGGTATCAAGGGGATCCCGGGGTTCTGGCTGAGGAAAGCAGGTAGATGATACAGAAATAAAGGAAGAAGTGCTGGAGTTGGGCTTGATCTTGTGGTCAGCGTGGTTACTGGATCTCAAACGATGGTCCCCAGACCAACAGTGTTCTGCGAACCTGTGAAAGATGCACACTCTCCGGTGCTGCAGAATGAGGAGTTCTGAGTGGGTCCACTATTGTGAGTGCTAAGGAACCCTCTTGTCCCCGGATGCTGCAGTCCTGGCTCTGCAAGGGAGGAGGGAAGCCCTTGCTGTAGTGTTTGCCTATGCCAGTGGTGTAAATAACCACACTGTTTCCTATCTTGAGCCATGTGGGATTTTTTCACATGCTTGGGCATAGTAGCTGCACTTGTGATCCCAGTACTAGGGAGGTGGAAACAGAAGTGACCCACTAGCCAGACAGAGAGCTCAACTGCTGGGTGGGCTCCAGGCCAGTAGGAGAATCTGTCTCGATAAACAAGGCGGACAGCATCTGATGAACAACACCTGAGGTTGACCTCAAGCCTCCACAAACTCAAGCTCACTAGTGAATGCTCACATGCACGCATGTGCGTGCACACACACACGGGGGCAATTTAAATAGAGGTACAAAGAAAGGGAGGGGTCCTTTCCACCTGAGAAGGTCAGCGGAGCTTCTCAGGGAATAGCAGCTGTGGGTCTAAACACAGGAAGGGGCTGTGGAGATGGTTTAGAGCAATTGCTATGCAAGTTTGAGGATCTGAGTCCAAATCTCCAGCATCCATGTAAAAAGCCCAGTGTGGGTGTGCATACTCTGTCACCCCAGCACTATGGGGAATGGAGACAAGGGATCCCATGGGATTTGAGCAGCCAATATCTTTCTCCGACCCCCATGTGCACTCACACACACACACACACACACACACATGCACATAAAACACACAGATACACAAAGATTAGGGGTGTGGCTTGATGATAGTAGAGTGCTTGCCTGATATGTATGATGCTCTGGGTTCGATCCCCCCAAAATAACAAGATAATAAACACAGGGTGGGCAGGAGGAGGGCGACGAATATCCTGTCAGAAGGAAAGGCTCCGCATGTGACAGCGGATTGGAGCACCACGGTGGCTGTGAGGCCAGGAGACGCAGGTGATGGTGGTACTGGCTCATGGAGAAGCCCTTCTCTTTCATCAGCCTCTCCATCACTGAGCCATCTCTGCACGAGACTGCTTTCTGCTCCTCAAACAGTGATCTGCTTCCCACTCCAGGCCTGTGGGGTCCATCTGCCTGGGGCTCTGTCCTGTTCCCCTCCCTGAGTAATCGCTCATCCTAATACTCCCTAAGTATCACCTCCCTTAGGGAGCCTGCACCGGCCAGGTTCCTCAGCCATCTTTTAGGTGTTCTGTGATGGAGAGACAAGCCAGACATTCAAACTCAGAGAGTGGTAGTGGACTGCGGAGGTGGAGAAGCTAAGTGGACATTCTCTGCCTGACCTGGTCATCATAGGAAAGATACTTCTTCTGCCACTGACTACTGCAAACCTTGCCTTCACCGCCTGGTTCTGAGTCCTGGCTCCTCTTCATCTCTGAACTGCTGTTTTATTTTCCTGTCTGCAAATGACCCTCCCTGCAGCGAGTCTCCCCTCTTTCAGGGAGCTTTGTTCTGGGAAGCACCTATCTCCTTCCCCATGGCATGGGCTTTATGGCTCAGCCTCATGACGGAGGATGGGGGAAATAGATTATAACAGGAATGCTAGCAGGATAACAACAAAATGCCTGAGATCACTCTCTTATGAGGAGGAAAAGGCTTATTTAGACCACCATTTGGGAGGCTCCAAGACCAAGACCGGGAGGTCTGGCCTCCGTGGCACACCAGGAGCGTATGCAGGAACACAGGGTCCCATCATGGCCCAGACAGCAAAGAATGAAAACAGGCAGGGCTATGCTTGACCCTTTATATCAGTATTCTAGAGAGGAACTGAGGAGTTCCATGATCCCAGCACTTAGGATACAGAGGCAGGAGGATTCCATGCCAGCCCGGATTACAGAGTGAAAAAACATGAGAACAGCCAAGGGAGTTAAAGACTCCCACGACAATGGGAACCTGGGCTCGGACCCTCCCCCGTGTACCCACAGTTCCCTCGTATGGATCAAGCTACACATATGACCCTATACAGGAACTCCGCAGTCAAGGGCAGCAGGGAGCACCGGAAGGGTGATTCCTTCACAACTACCCACCTCTATCAGCTGTACCCGGTCTTGCTCACGGATATCAGTACATCCCCTTCCTAGTGGAGAGGCTGGTTAGTGGTCAACAGTCATCGGCAGCCCAAATGATGGGAGAAAATTCCTGCAAATCACACATCCGTCAATAGAAGAACACCCAGGGTCAAGAGGGTGATGTGCTTGTTGTACGAACAGGAAGACATGGATTCCATTCCTAGAACCTTGGAAAACCTGGGCGTGTTCGCACACTTGCAATCCCAGCACTGGGGAGGCAGAGACAGGAGAGTCTCTGGAGCTCACGGGGGAGGAGGGCCTCACTGACTAGTCATTATAGCAGGTGAGTTCCAGGCTCAGTGACAGCCCCTGTCTCACCCTGTCTCAAAGAGTAAATAAAGCAAAGATTTATTGAGGAAAACACTTGATGTCCACCTCTGGCTTTTGTATGCACAGACAGAGATAGAAAGAGGGGGAGGAATAGAGTCAGAGACTAGAATATATAACAAGCTCCTAAAACTGGGAGTGAACTTGGTACCACTTAGATGAACTTTAAGGGCATCACTAGTTGAGTACGGCCCTGTGTTTCTCCATCTGTAACAATCCACAGTCTGTGCCTGACGCTCCAATCTTACTCAACTCCAGTGCAAGTATCTAGACATCTTGAATACCCACCCCTAACATACCTTATGTGACCCAGGCTGGCCTTGACCTTTGGATGTTGCTGGTACTACATCCTGAGTGCTGGGATTAGACATGTTTACCACACACTCCATTTATGTGGTAAAGGGGATTAAACACAGGGCTCTGCACACACTGGGCAAGCATTGGACCAAGTGAGCTGCATCCACAGCCCTGAGTGTCTCAAGTGTTATATGGCACATCCCTGGCCACACCTCTGTTCTCTGCCTTATACATCTTTTAGCCCGGTGGCTGTCCCTAGGTCAGCTGTTTAATAGCTCATTATGGTCTAGTTACTGAATCATCAAACTCCACGAAGTAGACTCCCCAGAAAATGATCCTTTGACACTCCCTTTCCCCTCTGTATGCGGAGGGAAGACACAGAGCTCCTGCAGCAATGCCACCTGCCCGCCCACAGTCACCTTCATCCCAATACTCCTGAGGGTGACACGCTGGGCCTTGTTAAGGGGAAGGAGATTGTGGAAACAGCTAACACTCTTTGGATCCCAAGCCGGTGACTAAGGAGGGCGATAGAGCTGGGTCGTTCTGGGGGCAGGAGTGACTGCGCTGGGGAAGAAATGAGCCTGAAATTCTTTTGTAGTTTTCAATCTGTCCCCGAGGACAGCCCAAAGGAGCTCTAGACAGATACAAAGGCAGTGTGTGCCCCTCCCACAGTGATGAGTCTGGGGAGTGCGGGGAGTGTGGGGAGGGATGCACAGGGTGCTTCTGCTGGGGTTTTTAAGTCTCTGAGTCCCTTGAGAAATGATGCTAGCCCTGAAGCTCTCTCCAGAAAAGTCTGTGAGTCCATCGTCTGCACGTCATTTCAGGGGGCCATGGGTTCGGCTGGAGGACCTCAGACTGGAAGGAGCACACAGTCCTACATGGAGGTACCAGAGAGCAGCCATTGGTGCCTCAGTTTCTCAGTTTCTGCCCACGGAGACAACGATGGGCACAGCCTAGTCGTGTGACCTACAGAGATCCCTAACTCGTCCATGAGCTTCTCATACAGTCTTAGTTGC